CTAATAGAGGAGTGCCTTCTGAATTCGAGGATTCAAAATAAAGCTGAGCTCGAGTCATGCCATTAAGAGGAAGGCCATTGAAAACAGGAAGAAATACAAGTGCGGTTAAAGCTATCAAAATCTTCATTTGCAAGCTGTGATACCATATTTGAGTTGGTTATAAGTTCAAGAGAAAATGATAAGAAACATTCACATGGCAACGTATCGTTGCCATAACATTAGTAAAGATCTCAAATTTATTGGACAAATCCGACACTCCAGCTAGCACCTGATATTTGAAATTTGGATCTATTTTGCAGTAATTTACCCCTAAATTTAAATGCGAAATTTAAAAACCCACTCAAAAACAGGTTTTTTAGCTGATGTATAGAATTTCTTTGAAAAAGCTACACCATGCAAAGTTCACAATCAATATGCGATTTCCTCATACAAATGCCTTATTTTATACATCTTCAAGTCGATTAAAAATTTTAGATTCTATTTCAGTTGAAAAGTTTTTTTCTATTCCACACCAAAATAACTTATCTGAAAATGAAAATAAAAATAAAAATGATGAGGATGAGGATGAGGATGAGGATGAAAATGAAACGCCTGATTCTTACCTCGGGTTTGATCGCTCGCCTGAGGCAAAATATGGCCATTTAAAAATTGGGATGGTCATATTTCCGGAATTTATTAGAGAGCAGCTTCGTCTTGCGCACAAAAACAATCCCTATAAATATTTATTCAATAAGGATGTAGCTCGAATAAATGCCATTGCTCAGGCTGCGAACCAAATCTTACCACCTTCACCAGATTTTCGGGATAATCGGATTTTGTCTCCGTGCTCTAAAAGATTGGCGGATGGTTTGTGTTCTTTTTATCATTTTTAGTCGACTTTTCTCATTTATCCCGCGAATATAATGAACGAGATGCATTGGCATACGCTACCGTGCAGTCACCATTAACATATGCTCCGATTTTTCGTGTATTTTCTGAGCTCACCAGACGATTCCCCGATTGGGCTCCATCCTCAGTTCTTGATTTCGGGTGTGGCCCCGGAACGGCGCTCTGGGCAGCCAAGGCTATTTGGGGAAATAGATTAGGGACATGTACAGGAGTAGATCTTTCAGAGGCTATGATTGATTTTGCAGACAAGATAACATCAAAGCTTGGTGGCGGTAAGATATCTTCCTTAATTTAAGAACACGCTATTGAGGCAATTTATAGGAGATATTTACACTTTCATAATGAAAAGGGGCAGTTTTATGAAATGGTTATCGCCTCTTTTGTGCTTAATGAGCTTGACTCGGTTCCCACGAAAGAGGGTGACCGCCCAGTCTTGGAACTTACACTGAACAACCTCTGGAAGTCCACAAATTCCTTTCTAGTGCTTGTTGAAAGAGGCTCGCCGTTAGGATCAAAGCTGATCATTCAGGCTAGAGATCACATTCTCGCAAAAGGAAATGCACAAGTAGTTGCCCCTTGTCCACATTCTGGAACCTGCCCAATGCTGGGTAGTTGGTGCCATTTTTCGCAACGTTCACAACTCCCTCGAGAAATGATGGATAGCATGAAGTTCAAACGGAATATCACAGATTGCCGATTTTCTTATGTAGTTCTTCAAAAAAAAAGCAAAGATGGGCCTCCCCTTCAAGAGTCCCGTCCGCAAAATTGGCCCCGAATAATAGTAGGGCCAAATAAGCTCAAAAAGAGGGTTGTTTTAGATCTATGTACGCCAGAAGGTAGCTTTTTGTTTTAATAGCCTCGTAGGCACCCTGCAAAGACATCAAATCCCAAAAAGCTGTGGGCGGGAACAATATTACGATGCCCGGAAAAGTCAACTTGGCGATCTTTGGCCCTACCATCCGCCTACGCTAAAGCCTCATATTCATTATGATTTTGGAAGAGCTGGAAGAGTACGGACAGACCAAAATAGGCACTTTTCGCTGAACGATCAAAATGCAACAAACCAAAACATAAACAATAATTTCGCTGGCCCTCCTGCAGATAAGAAGGGCATCGACGGTTATCAAGAACATGTATCTGTGAGATTTCAAAATGAGGAGAGAGGGCCTGACCTTGACTTTGATGGAAACTCCGTCTAATGGTTTTCAGCTCTTTGTTCATGAATTATAAATTAAAAATTGCACAAACTAGCCTCTAAGTGTCAAGATATCTTTCTATGGCCGCAGTTACAATGACGCACAGAAAAGATGAAAAGATCTTGGGAATCCATCCTTTATATCCAAAGATTTGGCAGGTGAGCCAAGAGAGAATAAATGCAACTAGTATACATTTGTTATATGTTTCAAATGATGCTTGCAAACCGAGCCGTTTTTGAAATAGAAAATAAACGTTCACATCGATTATTGTCATTTGAAGAGTAGCATGCAATGTTCCAATCGAATGAAATTGTAAATCTTGCAGATATGTCTCGGACGCTTGTATGTCATCGATCCATAGAAAAAAAGACATAAGGTTTGCGATAATGAAAAGCGTATCCATAAAGGTCAAACTAAGCTTAAAAGCCGACGCAAAGCTTTTCTTATCTGTCTCTTTGGAATGATTACCGGAATTTGAATGAGTATCGGCATTTGAATGAGTATCGGCATTGGAATTAGTATCGGCATTTGAATGAGTATCGGCATTTGAATGAGCATCGGCATTTGAATTCGTCAAGTTAGAAATAATATTATTTCCGGCGCTGCTGGTGTTGCTGGTGTTTATGCTATTGCTGGTACTTGGTTTAGTAATGGTACTATTAACCCCGTCAGGAAAATCCCGGCTTCTCGGATATGAAATCCAGACTAAATCGCAAAAAACGATTCCAATTATAAAACTATTCAATATACGACAAGAAGTCTTAGTCAAAGAGACCGGAACAAATGGAAACAGCTGAATCTTTGGGTTAATTTTCTTGAAATCTGCTGGATAGTTCGGAAGACTGAGATTAACGAAATAGCTGAGGCATTCTTTGATAATGATGAAAATCAATAAAACCAGCTCTAACACCAAATGTACCGGGGCCCAGAGGATCCATTTGATGTACCTGAAAATCAAAATGAGATACTCAATAGGCCACCATAGCCTATAAGTAGAGAGCTTGGCAATTTTATGTGCGGGCACAGAAAGTGGGGAAAAATATCTATTCAAAAAACTAGGAAGAAGACCAAAATTGCCCAGTTTAAAAAATAACGAAGGATAAAAAAAGAAAAGGCCTCCTGCCAGCAAAGCAAGCCCGATCGGGAATATGTAATTTTTCTGAACAGATATTAACAAGAGGGGACTTTTATCTAAACGAGTTGATTCAACGTCTAATTTTAGCGTGCTATTTGCAGGTATGCTCAAAACTTCGTGACTGGACTCCAAATCTAGAATTTTATGACCATCAATGATGTGGGTATCTTCAAATTCAAAATACGAAAAAAATTCTTCATACAGTATTTCATAATATAATAAGATAAAACATATAACTAAAACGCTTAAAAAAAGGACTACATAAAAGATAAGCATGGATAGGCTTAGCACAGGTAATTGATACGACAAAATCTGTGATAAATTAATCCAGAATGCCCATTGGTGGCATAGCGTGCCAATTAATGCAAGCTTAATATTGGAAGAAATTAAATTGTGATAGCTTCAAAAGGCATCAACTTTTCTCAAAGATTGGCCAGAAGCTTATCTGATATCGTGAAAAGGATACCACAGTAGAGGTTGTTATGCTCGGTATAATGAATGAATTAAACCCAAAGATAAGTGCAAACTCAAATATAAAATTACATAGCAAACATTAATATTGGGGTCAGCTTGTCAGAGCTGGTAAATTTAGCTGTCGATTAAGCTTTTCAATCGCAAGTTCCAAGATCTGCAGTGTTGAAAGTGGCTTAAGACCCCCATTTATACGTGGACTTTTGGAGATACTGATCCACAGCTCGCCATATTTGGGTTCGGCCTCACAACATCTCTGCAGCGCGGCACCGGGGGTTGAATTCTCCATGGTATTTGAATCTGATGGGGCGCTAAGAGATATCAAATTTCGCTCATAAAGCGCTGCGTATGCATGAGCATCACCCAACATTGGGTTCAGTGCTACTGCCCGCTCAATCCAAGTTTGCGTCTTTTCGGAGGCGAGGTTTTCTTCCCAAAAAACGCGGGCCAAAGCAAGAGCGACCAACGCATCTTCTGGGCATCGTCGAAGAGCATCTGCCGCACGAGCCTTGCGCGCAGCTGGAGGTTCTAGGCGGATGGCCTCACTCCAAAGCAAACCGCTGGTAGGCGTTGCTTGAAGACTCTTAGCGAGAAGAGCTTTGGCTAGAGTTTTGTTTCCCAAAGACTCCTCTAACCGAATTGAAGCTGCCCAAAGAATATCAGAACGAGGAAGAGCAATCCGTCCATGTTCATAGATAGCACGAGCTTTTAAAGATGCCCCCTGCCGCTCTTCAAAGGCTCCAGAAGCTATCCACAAAGCCGCAGAAGAGGGGAAAAGGCGAACACCTTCAATCATTACTCTTCTAGCTTTCAACAGAAGTTTTTCTCGCTCAATTTTAAATGTTTCTGCTTCTAATTCAAGTGTCTCAGCCAGCATCAGCCAGAGCCTAGGTTCTCTTTCTATGGTTTTGGATTCTGTAGCCTCTACAAGCAGCAGGGAGGCCCGAGATAAGTCACCTGTGGCTCGTTCAAGTTGAGCACTTTTAATACAAAGGCGAGAAGAGGTAGGCAATGCTTCGCGGCCCTTACGAAGAATTTCTCGAGCTGTCTCTATTTCACCCTCCCATCGCTCAATTTTTGCTGCAGCAATCCAAAGCTCTTCACTTTCTACGCAGAATGTGGCTCCCCTCCGCAGTAAAGATCGAGCATTATCTATGGCACCCGTCTTCCACATATCTTTGGCTGCCATCAGCCAGAAACGTTCAGAGGATGGAACTGCAATAATAGCTCTCATGAGCATCGAGTTTGAAGAAAAATTGGTAATCTTTGCATCATGGACTTTATCCTCAGAAATAAGCCCTGGATTTTCGAGATTTTCTGGTGGAAAGCTGGTGATAATATTGCTTTTTGAATTTGGAAAGTAGCGCTTTTCCCAACGAACAGCAGCAAGCCAAATATTTTCATCTTCTTGGCGCTCTGGGCAGCAGAGGAGAGTTTCTAACAGGGCTCGCCCTGTGGCTACATGCCCCTGAGAGGAGACGCGCTCGACCTGCTCTAGAATTTCTTCTTCCACACCTTTTTCGGGGCCCCATGTGAGTTCGATCACTGCCATCGCTGTTACACTGGCTCCTGAAAGTTCACATTCAATTGCTGTTTGAAGCCAACGTTCTAGAGAGAGCACATGCCCACGCCCATGTAACGAAGAGAGCATACGGCCTAGTAAAGTTGACACAATAGCTACGTTTCCGTACTTTACTTCTTCAATACATGCGGAAGCTATCCATATTTCATGTGAGAGAGGCGAGGCAGCCCTGGCCTTGTTGAGGACGATCCTAGCAGCGTCCTGTGTATCTTGTAATTCTGCAAGTCCAATCCAAAACTCAGGGATCGTAGGTAGTGCCTCAGTGGCACCTTCAAGCAGCCGCAGGGTCTCGGATGAAATAAATTCTGCTCCTGCTGAGACTGAATCAAGAGCTCTGGATGCTTCAATTGTGGCTCGCCACAATTCGAGCGAATCAGGAATAAGCTGAAGAGCCTCTTTGAGTCTCCGAAGTCGGACATTTTTGGCATCCAGCGGTGTAGCGGCAATTTGTGCTGCAGCTTCAGAAATACGTAGCCAAAGTCGAGAAGAGTGCGGAATAGCTTTGAGGCCCTCTCCAAGCACATCAAGCCTCGCTTCAGCGGTGGGTGCCAGTCGTGCTGCCTCGGCCCACAGTTCTTCAGAGCGAAAGCTTGCGGCCAATGCCCGCTTTGCCTCAACCCGAGCCCCTTCCAGTTCCCCGGCACCTTCTTTCAGGCGTATCAATGAGAGCCATCCAGAAACAGAACTTGGATGGATTTCTACCAGCGATTGCAGCAGCTGTTTTGCTCTAGCTAGATCTCTGACCTCTGTGGTGGAACGTTGATGCATGCTCATGAGACCTGTCATGTACGCCTCGGTCTCTTGTCCGCTTTTTGACATGGAGCCGTTTGCAATTGTATCAATAGTGAGTCCCAGCTGGCGTTCTCTAACAGCCCCTATCATTGAAAAGTTGGGCGAGGTCAAGGACCCATCGACCTCCAAATCGCCAGAGGAAGAAGACGAGATGGCTCGCTCCAAAAGAAAATCTGGAGCAGGTGTATATCTTTCCATTCCAAGGGCTCTTGAAGAAGAAGATGATGATGATGCGGTGGAGATCGATAACGACTCATCGTCTGTCGACAACTTCGGCCTCCGTTGAGTACGTCCAGCAGCTGTCAAATCACCGACTTCAGGGATGTCGGCCCACTGTTGGGCCGAAATCGTCGAAATTGATCTTTTCAAATCTTCAAACTCGTCTCGAATGGAACGAGATGAAGATCGAGTATCCATGTTTTTCCTTTTCTTTGCATGTCGCTCCTGCATGCGTGTATCTACTGCAGCGTATATTCGATCTGCCTCTGCATCATCTGCATCATACATAGATGTTTGCGCTGTAGCAAGGAGACCTGCATCAATAGATTCATGATCCGCCATTCCTCCCGAAAGCGCTTGTTCTAAAGGATCTTGAACTGGCGCAATGGCAGGCCCTATGTCAGAGCGCGTAACAAATCCAGAAGCTCTAAAGGTGATAAAAGAAACCATACCCTCGTCCAACACCAGCTACGTAACCTACCGGCGCAGGCTTCCCCAGGAAATGGTACTTATCCTTCTTCTGGGGCTGGTTCATCATGGTAGATGAAAAATTTATTTAAAAATGAAAACGCTATCAATTTATACAATTTTTAATTGCAAATTGTCGAGTTTATAGATGCTAGACCATAAATGGGGCTGGAAATTTGTGCATAGCGGCTACTAGCTTGTTCATCGCCATCATATCAAGGCTGGTATCACCAAAAGAATCTAGTACCATTGCTTGCAATGATAAATCTTTTTGGACAAGACCTGTAACACATATGACGGGGCTGGTTGGAAGTACTGTCGTTGGTGTGATATGAACCAGGAGTTTACCATTATCGCAGCTTTCTAATTCTATCAAGGAGTTTGAAGAAGGCTATACAAATTTAAGCGATTTTTTACCATTAAGACTCTACCAACCACACGCACAACCTGGCCTATGTGCCGGGCAAGCAGAGCATAGTTCAGATATGGAGTAGGGCTGTCCATCGATTAAAATTAGAATTGAAATTAAAATTAGAATTA